TCGTGTCCCAGCTGGTTGGGGAGGGATCGAAAATGGTAGGACGTGCTGTACCAAGGGCACTCGCATTCGGTCATTCTCCTGAGAGCGGGGCTTTTTCCCTGGCGGGCTTGAGCCGGGGGCCTGCCGGGCCTGCCGGGGGGGCGCTTTCACCCCGGGCCGAGAGGGTCGGAGACTTGACCTGGAGCAGCTGCTGCCCTCGAGGGGCAGTCAGTCCCGTGTGCAGAGAGAGAATGGCTAACGATGCTCCATATTAAATTGCCTATTGTTTTATGCCACCTGATGTGTCTGCATGAGAGGTTTCCTTTCTGTTCATTTTTAAGCTGCTGTTAAACCAAAACCATGTTGTGCTACTGTGTCAGCCTTTTCATTATTCCAACTTTTACTTTTACTCTTGAAGCGAACGCGTCGAGTCCACCCGGCAGTGTTCTAGAAGGCGCGAGCCTGCGCGCTTGCCGGGCCTCGCGGAGGAGCGCGTGACCCAGGAGGGAGAGCCGCGTCCCTCTCCTGCCTGCGACACGCAGGCCTCAGCTGACGCTCCTTCACGGGGCCCGTGACAGGGACGGAGCCACTTACCTTCCAGTTCTGTGCCGGGAACAGTGGGACCGCACTGGGCTTGGCCGGCCGTGTCACGAGACGGTTTCGACTCGGTTTCCTTACGGCTGCTTCACATGCCCGGCCCCTCACCCACAGCTGGTAGTGACGCCCTCGCGCTGTCAGCCCGAGCTGGACAGCTCGGATGCGCTCCCTGGTCACACGTGAAACCCTGTGACCCTTTCGCAGAGTCACACGCAGTGAGCGAGGTCAAAGGAGTCGTTCTTTGACCACGAACGCGGGTGGCAGGTGTGGCTCAGGCCCCACCCCACCGAGCTCCTCCGAAAGCACCTGCCTCCCTCAGCTCCACGCTGAGTCTACTGTTTCTTAGGCCACTGCGTTATGACCAGTGCGAACGACGCCATGTTGAAGACACTGAGAACTACCAGCCACATTTAGGCAATGCGGTGACAGTTGTCCTACCAGCATAACGAGGCTCACTGTACACTGGGGCTGTGAACGAGGGTAAAGAGAGGGCCGCGGCTTCACCTGCGCGGTGCACTGGGCTGAAGGCCACGAGCGATGAGGTGGCGGCCACTGTGGGTGTGGAGAGGAGGGCGTGTTGGCTGCTCGGATGTTCAGTAAGTCATGTCACTCTGGATGATGCCAGCCCTGTACCCCTCCCACGGAACGAAAGCAAAGACTCAGAGCACGCATGACACCAGTTGGTTTACCAGTGTTCCTTCTGAGGGGACATATATTTTTAAATAAACGATAGTTGCAATGAACTGTGGCTCGGAGACCTTGAAGTAGTTGAGGGGGGACGGGTGGGGACACGGCAGTGGGAAAAATGTCTCAAACTTTTGTTTGGGGACCAAAAAGCTATTTAGTGACCACCAGCTGACCGAGTCAGGTGTTTTGGTTCTTCTAACTCTACATGGTTCTAGACTTCCGTGGTCAGAGCAGACCCTTTGTGAAAGCTATACACTTGCTCTTCCACCCCAGCCCCCGAATGGTGCCTTAAGTAGCTGAGGTCTATGGCCAGGACCACGGGACAGATGACAGTCCCAAACGGTCTGCGGTGCTCTACAGTTTGCTACAAGGCAGCGTGACAGAAGGGAGTCCCCGAGTGCTCCGTGGGGTTCAAACAAACGTAGCTCCTGGGAGCCGAGGGAACAGCGCGGGCCTGTAGCCACCCTGCTGAGACTTCGCAGTGAGTCCCTCCTAGAGCAGGTGCAGTTAAAGAAAATGCAGCCCCCGGCAACCCAGAAACACCAAAGGGAGACCCCACGGCCCTGAGCTCTGCTGCGACCCGGTGGCAAGAGCCCCGTCAGCCCAAGGGGCCACACCGGGCTCCCCCCGGTTCTGCCGGTAACAGCCAGACGTGCCTCGCTTTCTTCATGTCTAACACACGTTAAGTTATAGCATTCACAGGGCGGTACAACTACGTAAAATCGTTATTCAGGTACAAATGACCAACTGTGAAAGGGGTTCTAGAAATTAGCTAGTGAAAGCAAGAGCTTTCCCCAAAACTAGTGTGTAAGTTGTGCTCGCCGATGAAGCCAGTGGAGATGCGGAAGGCGGAGGACTGGGAAGAGCCAGGGGAAACATCCTGAGCCGGTCAAGGTCAAAAACGATCGGCTGAAAAGGGACAGCAAGCTCGAGCGGAAAGGTCACTACTATAGGACGATGGGGGTCTTTCCACGGGAGCTGTCAGAAAACGGTGTAGAAATGAGCCGAGTGGCCGCCCAGGGCCAGTGGCTTTGTCGAAGTTGTCCCACAAAAGTGTCAGATGCCCAGCGAAGCCCAGCGGGCCCAGCAGTACTCAGTCACCTCAGGATTCCCAACTTGTGTCCTTCGTCCTTGTCCCTACCTAGGATTTCACGGCCTGCACTCTGTTCATCCTTTCATCCACTCAGTCAGTGCCCTGTCACCTCGGACATTTATTTCACTGTCACTGCATTCTGAAGCTCCACAGCCTGTCTCTTCGCCACACTTGGACTATTCTATTGCCCTCGTCTCCACACCCGCCTTCCCTCGACGCCTCTTTGAGAGCAGACTCCATGTGACCCACCTTCATAACTGCAGCGTCTAGCACGACGGTGCACGCGGTGGGTGCCCGGAGAGAGAGAAAGATGCGCTGGTCTGGCTCTGCCAAGCTGTGGTGAACGCGACTTTCTGGGGGCGTTTTACAGAGCGCTTCCATGCCGGAGTCCGAGATCTCTGCCATCAGCTACGGCTCTTTCGGGTCCAACCACTTCCTTCCAGCTCCTCCCCCGACTTTCACTCTCTCCCCTCACCAAGAACCGCTCGGTTCGCCTTCGCCGACCATCCATGTGTTCATTCAACACAGCGGAATGGCATGCCGAGCTCTGGAGGTCTGCCATGACCTCCCAAGCGTGACCTTCAGAGGTCCCGTTCTCAGCCTTAGTGTCGCAGAAACGTGAAAACGCCACGTCCCCGCTCTCACCACGGACTTCGTTTCTCTTTGGGCCACTTCGCTTCTGCTTGGCTTTTTGCTCCCTTTCCCCACTTCCCAAAGGTCACCATTTTGCTAGTCATCTAGGTCCCAAATCTGATTTCTCTCCTTAGGTCATCCTATCTGATCTACCCAAAATCGTCGATTCTTTGTAATGCCTGTTCAATTTAGTCCATTTTCATGATCACCGCCCCAAGGCTTGCAATAACAACAGCCGTGGCTTGGCGGGAGCGTAGTGATCGGCACCGCGCTTGCTGCTGCGAATACAATGACAAACCAAGCAAAGACAGTCCCTGCTCTCGAGCACCTTACAGTCTAATGGGGGGAGGGCAACAAGTAGAGTATTAAGCGCATAATTACGCATGATGGCAAATGCTATGAAGGAAATCGATAGGATGCAGTGACAGAGGATGACATAGCGAGGGAACCTGCTTAGAGAAGGTGCCCAGAGAAGGCTCCTCTGAGGAGGTGACAGGTTGAGACCTGTCAGATCAGTAGAATCAGCCTGCTGGAGGAGGGCTGCGGGATGTGGGGGAGGGAAGTATTTGATGTCCTCCGCCGGCCTCGATCTGCTCTTTAGGCATCATCTCCTGCCTCTCCACATACCGATCTAGGCTACTTGCCTTTTGACCTGCGAGCGAGGCCTGTCTCGAATGTTTCTAGTCCCCATGTCTATGAAACCCGTCAAGTTCCAGCTCAAACGTCATTTTCCATGATGATGTCACTGGTCACCTCCCTTCCCTTGCATCGCTCTAGCAATTCATACTCTACTTGCTCTACTCTTTCTTGCATGGCGGCTGTTCATGATGCGCTTCAGCTAGATGAAAAGCCAGAAGGCTGGGATGGCATCCGTGTAGCTCTGTAGCCCTTAAATCAGCTGATACATGCCAGATGCTCAAGAAATGATTGTTGAAATGAACTTCCGCTTTCCGGACTTCACTGTCTTGATCTAAAACATGAGGAAGTTGCACACATGATCTCTAAGGCCCCTCCTATCGATGCTAAAATAGATTTCTAAAGGATGTGTGCTATTCTGACCCCTCTCCACGCAAAGACAGTCTGCCTTTTGCAAATTTTCAGTTCAGAAAAACAAACGAACAGCGATGCAAATGATATAAGAGGCTTGAATACAGCCGTCGAAGAACACAGCACAGGAACATATTAAGTTTATACACAATTAAACGTCGCACGCGGACGGGCTAGGTGCTTGCTGTGAGGAAGCAAAGGATCGAGAGGGGACATGCGGGCCCCCTCGGATGGGAAATTCTTTCCTCACCTGGGCAGATGTGACAAAAGAGGGTGCTGATTCTGAGGACAAAGGAACGGCATAGGGAAATACGGGGATGGACGTGCCCAACGTGTCACCAGATGTCCTCAGAGGGAGAGTTCAGGTGTCCCCCAGTGGCAAAGAG